AATATTTTTGAATGTCAAAGCGATACATTCTTTTGCATGTAATTTTGTTGTTTTATATTGTAGGCCTGTAATTCTTAAGAATAACTCTTAAATCTGTCCAAACGAGTCTAGTAAACATCCTGGGTATGATTAAGTTTGAAACACGAAATCATAAAGTCTAATATAATATAATATAATGTAATCAAACCAAAAACACTGAAATTTGAAATAGAGCACCAAGTTCGCACATCACTGAGCTCAGTCGCAGAATCGTCGCTGTCGTCACTTTCAGTGTCTGATGATGAATTTCCCCACGAATCACTATCACTCAATTCTGCAAATGATTCTAATTCACTATTGCGGTTTTCTAGCTGGTCTAACACCGCTTTTGACCTAAAGGAGCGCTTTTTGGATGCCATGGGCGTTCTCAAGTTTCCAGGCAGAAAGAATGGTAAAAGTGTAGGCAGGGCACTGGACAAAGCACTAGGGACAAAAATTTAGGTGAAATGGTTTGATACAGTAATGTAATCCTAACCTATTACAATGTATTGTGTGTATAATGTTTTTACATTTTTTAATATCCTGCGTCCCAACGCTCACAGGGAAGGGAACCTGGAAGATGGATGCCGGCATCGGCCGAAGAACATCGGGATCACAGGACAAGGTAAGGATCGGGGGGATCACAGGACTAGCACTACGGTGTAATTCCAAGTGTGGCACAGGGTTACCGCTTTTGGTACTGTAAATTAACCCTAAGTCACACTCAGGATTACTGCTAGGAAGATTAAAATCAGTTGCTATGGACAACCTCAGGCATGGGAAGCCAGCACAGGAGGAGAGAGTAGACAGGCCTCCTCAAAAAGTAACACCAAAAAATGCTTCAGATGTTCCCAACCTTGTCACTGGCATTGCATACATCAAATGAGAAGAAGTTCTAAGTGGACCCTGCTGGATGTGTACGCACAAGGGACGTCCGACACATCAGTCACACCACGGTGTCAGCAGTGCTAAGCCTCTCCCACCCCCAGGGTAAACAGTGCTGTCACAATTTTTTGTTTTTTTTTTTTTTTTTTTTTTGGACATCCTTTGTCGGAAGAATGTCACCTCTCCCTTGGCCTGCCCCGTACCTGGCTACCACCATCCCTTTCCAGCAGGAGACAGGCAGCGGCCCACTGGGTATGAATAGGTAGACAGGGCAAATGCCCTTAAGCCACGGTTGCATAGCGGGAGGGCGGCTGAGGAGGGGGCCAGAAGGTTCCAAATGCAGCCAGGGCACAGGTATATTACCCAAGAGGATCCCTGCTGCAATGGAATACATAACAGGCCATTCCCATCCTACACAGCCTTCCCCCAGTTGCCAGTCATTAGATAATGAAACAAGAATGCCCACAAACTGTACAACCCTGGTATCAACAGACCTGCTGGCCGAGACAAGAGGGTCGCTCACCCAGCTGTCAGCAGCCACAGTAGGCATGGAACGATCTGCCTCAGGTGAGCTCTTCTCCAGGAGGAGGGAGAGGGGTGGAGTCTAATCACCCGAGCTTGTAGGAGAGGAGAACCCAGCAGGGACTACCACCCCAGGGAGCATCTACACCTTGCTCTGCTCGCCTGTAGGGGACGGGGGGGGTGCATCTACTTACAGATCCACGAAGGTTGCGATTTAAGGCTCCCACAGGTACTTAGTTACAACACTACTCAGACTGTCCTTGTTAGAAGACTTGTTAGATCATAGAGTAATCTTTTTGTTCCTTAACATGAAGAAGGCAAAGGTTTCTACCCTCGCATATTTACCAGAAGAAAACAGGGAAGTTCAGACGCATACTCAACCTGAGTACCCTCAACAAAAAGAAAAGATACAAGAAGTTTTGGGTGGAATCTATTTACTCCATAAGGAACATACTTTTACCAAGAGTCTTCATCTCGACAGTAGACCTGCAAGATGCTTACCTGCACATAGGAATAAAGAAAACCCATCACCAGTACCTGAGATTTGCGCCTCATTGCCCTTTGTCATTCCATACTTGGCAACCTCCTCTTCTTTGCCAACACAAAAGAGGCCCTGATGGACAACCTATACTCAAGTATCAGTTACTTGAGGGATCTAGGGTGGATCATAAATTGACAAAAATCCTGCCTAGTTCCCAGTCAAATAGTAAATCATCTTGGCCAAGTGCTAGATGCCAAGAAGACAATGTATCTCACTCAGGACAAGGAGCAGAATGATAGAAGAAATAACATCACTGTGTTGCTCCAACTCGATCACCATCAGGAAAGGTATGAGGATATGACGTCCCCTATACCAGCCATCACTTGGGCTCAATTACACTCAAAGCCACCTCCAAAATTTCCTACTAACTCAGTGGGATGGGGAGCCACGGTCGGTGGACAGCAGGATTAAAGTCCCACAAGAGGTCAACGAACCTCTGCAATGGTGGTTCAGCCTGCACTTTTACAGTCGGGCAGCAGTGGACTCAGATGAACACAATTCGCATCATCACGGATGCCAGCACCTCAGGTTGGGGGCACACCTGGCAAAACAACTAACGCAAGGCGAATGGAATTAGCTTTGGGCGCAAACACAAGGGAATTGAAAGCAGTGGAATAAACACTGAAGTCATTGCACAAACAGATCTAGGCCAAAAACCTCCAAATACAGTCAGACAATGCTACATCTGTAGCGTATATCAACAGACAAGGAGGAACCAGATTCCCCGAACTTATGAATCTGGCAGACTCTATTGTAAGTTAGGCAGAAGCAAACATACAGCCCATCTCAGCACTATACTTGAGACGGGTAGAGAACTTGCAAACCACCTGTGTAGGAACACCGAATGGGCACTAGATCAGTCAACTTATAATTGGATCACTCGGATGTGGGGAACACCTTTGGTGGACCTGTTCGCTTAAAAGAACAACAAGTCTCCAAAATTCTTCTCAAACCCCGAGAAATGGGAGTATAAGGGTGAACACTTAAACGCAAGATTGGTCATACCCTCTAAACTATGCCTTCCCTACAGTAAACCTAATTCCCAGAGTCCTCCAAAAGATCCAGAGGGAGAAATCGACAGTCATTTTGATCACACCACATTGGAAGGATGGAGCCTGGTTCAGTCACCCCCAAAATATGAGCACTCCGCCTCATCTACATTTTCCGGACAAGCCAAACCTACTAACGCAGGGGCCGATCTTTTATACGCACATCAAAACATTGAATCTTTCCGCCTGGCTACTGAAAGGGTAATGCTACAGAGAGTCTGTCAGATAAGGTAGTGGGCACTATCTTAGCCAGCAGGAAAAATGTTACTCAAGCTATATACAAATAGTACGCAAGAAATTCGTAGTCTGGTGCATGGAAAAAGGAAGGAGTGCGCTTAGGATACTATCTATGGTCCTACACTTCTTCAGAATGGAGCCAGTAAAAATCTTTCACATAACCCCTTTAAGTTCAAGTCGCGGCCTTTGTCCTCCCTTTTACAAAACAAGTGGCTGAGGACACGCTTATAAAACGATTCTTCTGGTAGGTAATACCAAGCCGACAGGTAGCAGGAGATTTTCTTTTTGACACCTATCCATAGTTCTGCAAGAATTCCTAGAAGCTGCATTTGAACCTCTAGATGAGTGCTCGGACAAAATACTCTCTAAGAAAAAGTACTTCTAGTCTCACTGGTATCAGCAAGAAGGGTGAGCGGAATACATGCATTGCTAATGCTCAGTCCATATTGCACCAATCATCTAGAAAAATAATCCTCTCCTTTCCCAGATCACAAAACATTGTTATTCCCTTCCAGCTACCCTTGATAGCAGGAAAAGGGAACCGTACTCCAAATTGGATTTTAGGAAAATCCTCATAGCCGGTTTTGCACATTTGGCAGCCACATTTTTGGTTTTATTAAGAAAACATGCCACATTAGTTTGTCCTTTGCCTCTGATGCAGCCAGTTTGACCTGCCAAAACCGGTTAGGCTTGTCCATTCACCAGGTCTACCCACAGCACCTTGACAGTGGCATGGAAGAACTTTCACAGTTTTGATAAGTCTTGATGCCTGATATAAATTTGCAGTCTGGCTAAAGTGGCTGCTTGTGAATGTGCCTAGCTTATGAGGAATCTTGATGTCTTACTTGTAGATCCTTATGCCAAGGAACTGTGCTTAAATCATGGTTTTCATGTTGTCTGCTGGTGAATGCTTCATGCTTTCATGCTATAAAATCTTTGTATGTATCGGAGCTCCTATTTTGCCTAAGTCTTTACCTGTGAGCATTTACTTACAAAATTGTGCATGGTGGATATTGCAACTAAAGTTTACACCCTCCTCCTCTAGACTTGCTTTCATTCAGTAGTAATAAACGTAGTATCACAGTGGAATACATCTTTCAAGTTGTGGATTATATCCTTTTGATTCACCGTTGTTTTCTGACTTGTATCAGTACAATTGCATTCAGCAGTTCAGGGGACTTGTTTACCCAATAGATCCTTGTATGTCATCTGTTTGATAAAATGTACTACTTGTTCCCATACACTTAGCAAACATATTTTGTAAGTAGTGGAGTATACTTCATCTGGTTCACCTTTCTCTTGAGCTGTATTATTATGGTTACTTTTGCCAGTCCAGCGGATCTTTAGATCCACTTTTTGCACCCTCCTATAACATATTTGAGATACAGCAGCCAGCTTGAACCTTATTTGATGCAAGGCTGGTAGTCTTGGTGATTACTTATCATTTGTACACAAAGTATTTATTTTTTTTTATCTGTCTTATCATGGAGATTTCCTCTCTTGCAGTCTTGCAAACCCAACAATAAGTGAGGGGATGTTTTTTCCAGTGTGAGGGAAATCCCTTCTTAGAGAGAGTGGTCACATGAATGTATGCCAGTTGGATGATATTCCCCTTCTCCATTCCTGCTCTGGTGGAAACAAACTTTGGATTTACTTTTTGCTTTCATTGTGATTATCACTGTCCCCGAGGACTATTTTGAGTCCTTACTGTTACATGTGTCTTCATTGCAATTTTTGTATCTAAACAGGTGAAAATAAAGATTACATCAGTTGGTTGGCACATTCCACTGACTCAGAAGACCCCTCAAATGGTTGTGTTTTGGGATACAAAGAACGCTATCTTCGCCTACGGAAATCTTCAGTTTGCCAGAATGGGCGGGATTACTTAGTGAGCAGTCAGCCTCAGTCCTGTAATTGTACACTGGAAGACTACATGTGGTAATGTTGTACCTGCTTATCTCATATCATCATATTTGAAATCCATCACACACGTTAAGGATTTAGAAAGTCAGACAATGTATTATGTTTGCAGTGACTTTGGATATTTCCGGAAGGAAAATGAGTCGATATGTGAGGAACAGCCTGAATTTAAGGGCCATGACCTAGAACTGTGTATATATGGGGAAGAGGAAGAACTGAAGACAAGTGGGTACGTGGAAGAATACTATTTTTTAATCCTTTGTTTAGAAAACCTTTTTATAATCATTTCCCACTCTGTTTTTCCTTCACGTCACACAAACATTGCCTTGGCAGAATTTTTGGCCTCAACATAATTATTTCATTCATGGCAAGATTAATATTTCTGTGATCAGTTAACCCAAAGGTGTTAAAATTAATGCAGAGAGGTCCTGTAATCATAGTCAGTTTGCAGCAAGCACCTCCATTAGAGTTTTCTGTGTAGGAAAGAGTTGTGAATTAAAGTAGTTGTAAAGGCTGAAGGTGTTTTACTGTCATGCATTCTATGCATGAAGGTAAAAAAACCTTCAGTGTGCAGCAGCTCCCCCGTTCCCTTCAATACTTACCTGCGCCTCATCGCGATCCAGCGTTGTGAATGACAGCCTCGGCTGTCACTGGTCTCTGCCTCCCCATTGGCTCCCGCTGCTGTCAATCATCACAGCCAGTAAGCCAATGAGGAGGAGGGAGGTGGGCAAGCTGTGGCTCCATGTGTGAATGGGCACCCGACAAACAGGAGGAGCCAAGAGAGCCTGTGGGGGACCCGATAAGAGGAGGATCCAGGCTGCTCTGTGCAAAACCCCTGCACAGAGAGAGTAAGTATGGACATGTCTGTTATTTTACGGGGAAAAAAAATTAACATTTAGATTTTCTTTAACCTTGAGGTCTGATTCAAACTCCCAAGTGTCAGCTAACCGTGGCTCTGCCTCTCTTCCTGTAAAGGCCAAGTGTAAGTTCTTTTATGGCATGTCTTTTAGCATGTGCACATGGAAAACGTTGCTTTCCGCCTCCTTCTCCCAAACCTTTATAACACAAGTGACATCATTCAGGCACTTTGTGATTAGTTATGGTGTCTCCCATGCTGCTTGTAATTTTGTTATGACGCATAGGGAGTAGAACATGCATTCTGACCCACTCTGTACGTCCTAGCTCTGGCATTCCAGTCTTATCAATGTTTTTACTTGGCCTTTGCCTGTGTAATGATCTCCATACCATCCCAACTAGTGTCTGTATTTTGTCTCAGATCCTCTATACATAGACCTTGAGTCCAGTAACCTTGCCCTCACACATCTCTGTTTAGGTCAAAGGTCACTAAATTTCCATATAGAAGTTCAAATGCTGAAAAGGCTATGGACTCCTACGATATCTGTCCTGCAGACTAACCGCAGGGAAGGCAAACATTGTTCCCAATCACTTCCCTGTGACTCCCACACAAAAGTTCCCTGCAAGTGTTTCAAGAGGGACTTTGAAACGAATGCTAAGGCCATTCATTTTCAGTATGTGGTGTGGACTAACATTGCTACAGGGAGCTGGCATCAGGTTGGACACAAACTGCAGACATAATCACCAAGAAGCTTGGCAGAGAACTCCACTTTCCTAAGCATTCCCAGCAGAGAATCAATGATCTTGTCAATATTTGGAGGGATGATAGTGCCATAACCCCTGGGTACCTGGTGGCATAGTCTACTACTATCAGGATATAACCATTTGCCTGAAATGCTTATGATGGCTAGCAGCTGAATATCTACCACCACTGTCTTAAAGTTGATTAATTGCAGGTAAACATTGTACTGGAGCCCTATGAACATCCTCTCATTTGCCAAACTGGCAAGTAGCAAAAATGTTCTGCCATAAAAAAAAGTATGCATAATTTTGGCCTTCGTCTTGGTTATTCCAATTAATCTGCTATGAAAATGTTGTGGGTTATCTTCCCTACATTTTTTTTTTAATATAATCTGCCTTTTGACTATTTCTGCCTCACTGCCTTTGGTGGGTAAGATCCTCCCTTTACAGCTTTTCATTGACTTATTGCACCTTTTGTTTCTCTCCCCCTGCTGGATGTTGCAAGCTGGGCTTCTGAGCTTCTCCGGTGATGCAGTGTGTACAACCCTGCATTTGGAGTCTTTCCCCAGCCTCATGTCTATTAAAGCTCATACAGCTAAAAAGACCTTTGTGCTACACCCACTTTTTTTTTTTTTTTTTTTTGGAGTGTGTGGATTGAACGCACCCTGAGATATGTGGCCTGGATACACCCTGAAATGCCTTGGGCACCACCTGAAATTGTATTGGACTAGTTTCCCTTTGACATGGAATTTGTTAGTATTCTATAGTGACTGTGGGGTCTGCCAGTGAACCCACCTTAACAGGAAACCACTAGGCAGGTAGAGGACATGTTAACCTTCTAGAGATTCTACTGAACAGCAATTGGAATCCCAGCTTAAATTCCTGTTTATGCTGGCAATTTCTGCCCTCCTTCCTGTAATGTCAATGACCTTGATCTGTCTGACTGTTGTAGAATGGGGTAGATCCTTCAAAAAAGAATTTCCACCATAATTAATCATTTTTGATTGAGCACATGGCACGCTTTGCTTACACTTCAGTTTTGATGACTTGTAATCCTCTAAATTGCATGAGTCTAAAGTGAATACAGATGTTCAGAGCACCCTGATTAAGGTGCTGGGATGCTGATGCCATATCAAAGTAGCATCTTTTTGATCCTTTTTCTAGTCCTTCGAGGGACATTGTCTCTTCAGAACTATATTTAATAACATAATCAAGAACTCCACAGGAGGCCAGAGTGAATTCCTGCATAAATGCAGTTCAGAGGAGAGGTTGACTGAGCCCCCATCTTTCTTTATCCACTGCTGCAGTAGATTCCCTAAGTTTTGTGGAACCTGACTCTCAGATCACAGGGATAAAAGTCAGAACAGCCAGACTCCTTGGCTGAACCTTTTGGCTTCTTTTCTAACATCCTTATTGTGGGACGTTGAAATAGCTTCCAATGAAAATTTAGACATCTTCTCAAATGGCCAAACTTTTGAAAGATTCAGGGTGATCAACACTAAGAATTAGCTTTGGGAACGGTCACGTGTAGGCAAGATTAACCAGCTTACTTCCTTGCTTGGGGGGGTCCATACATGTGTTCCCTTAATTCCCTCCTCATCAGACAGGGGCTCACCCCTAACTCCTTCCTTGCAGAAGCAATGGGTGATGGGGGACCTGCTCTCAGGGTCCTCCTTTTTTCTCTTTTTTTTTTTTTTTTTTTTTCTCTTTCTCTCGCTCTTTTTTCTTTCTCTTTTTTTCTCGCTTTTCCTTTTTTTCTTGCTTTTCTTTTTTTTTCTCGCTCCCCCTCTCTCTCCTTTTAGACCTATGGGTTACCAGAAGGATCATGATGATCACTTTTATTAGTGTGTAGGCTGTTGATCTGAATAACTAGTTCCCCTTTTGAAAAAATACATTGATCTGCCATATTTGTTTCTTATGGATAATAAAAAGTTGGGCAAAATGTTTGTTTTTTTTTCTTCTGGATTGTCCAGGTCTGTGTTTGGCTCATGATGATCATTAGGGCTGAGGTTCAGCAGTAAGAGCTGGATGTACAAGATCAAAAACAAAAATCTGATTTGTCTTTGTTTTTTTTAAATCATAATAAATTGATTGTTCCATGGCTCAGGTTTATTCTATGCCTTTTTGTCTTCTGGTGTACTTCAAGTCTCATTCAACCCTCTGTTATTCCACAAACCACTTTAATTTTCTTCAACTTATTTTACCAAGCTGGTTCTATATTTTAGGTACCGTAAGATCCCCGGAGACAAGTGCGCCGGTGGCGTGAAACCCACTCGTCAAGAAATGGACATGAAGAAGAAATGCCCAGTTGATGTGCCAGCAAAAATGCAGGTAACTGATAATACGAAAAAAAAACACTGCCAGCTTCATATTTCATAAGGGACATTATTTAAATTGTCATCCCATTTAAAAAGGCCCTGCTTTGTATTCTATAGTAATCCCTATGCCTTTGAGAGCTGCCTCCTGGGTCTTACTCCTGTTTCTTTCAAAACATTACATCAATTTACTGTACACTGTATGAGTAACAAAACATGGAGAGAGTCCTAATTATCCATGATTCCTGGCTGTCAGTTTTGTTTTTCGTTTTGTTTTTAAGGTATACAGTCAGGTCCATAAATATTGGGACATCGACACAATTCTAACATTTTTGGCTCTGTACACCACCACAATAGATTTGAAATAAAACAAACATGTTGTGCTTTAACTGCAGACTGTCCACTTTAATTTGAGGGTATTTACATCCAAATCAGGTGAACGGTGTAGGAATTACAACAGTTTGCATATGTGCCTCCCACTTGTTAAGGGACCAAAAGTAATGGGACAATTGGCTCCATGGCCAGGTGTGTGTTCTTCCCTCATTATCCCAATTACAATGAGCAGATAAAAGGTCCAGAGTTCATTTCAAGTGTGCTGTTTGCATTTGGAATCTGTTGCTGTCAACTCTCAAGATGAGATCCAAAGAGCTGTGACTATCAGTGAAGCAAGCCATCATTCGGCTGAAAAAACAAAACAAACCCATCAGAGAGATAGCAAAAACATTAGGCGTGGCTAAAACAACTGTTTGGAACATTCTTAAAAAGAAGGAACACACACTGGTGAGCTCAGCAACACCAAAAGATCCGGAAGACCACGGAAAACAACTGTGGTGGATGACCAAAGAATTCTTTCCCTGGTGAAGAAAACACCCTTCACAACAGTTGGCCAGATCAAGAACACTCTCCAGGAGGTAGGTGTATGTGTGTCAAAGTCAACAATCAAGAGAAGACTTCACCAGAGTGAATACAGAGGGTTCACCACAAGATGTAAACCATTGGTGAGCCTCAAAAACAGGAAGGCCAGATTAGAGTTTGCCAAACGACATCTAAAAAAGCCTTCACGTTCTGGAACAACATCCTATGGACAGATGAAACCAAGATCAACTTGTACCAGAGTGATGGGAAGAGAAGAGTATGGAGAAGGAAAGGAACTGTTCATGATCCTAAACATACCACCTAATCAGTGAAGCATGGTGGTGGTAGTGTCATGGCGTGGGCATGTATGGCTGCCAAGGGAACTGGTTCTCTTGTATTTATTGATGATTTGACTGCTGACAAAAGCAGCAGGATGAATTCTGAAGTGTTCTGGGCAATATCTGCTCATATTCAGCCAAATGCTTAAGAATTCATTGGACGCTGCTTCACAGTGCAGATGGACAATGACCCAAAGCATACTGCAAAAGCAACCAAAGAGTTTTTTTTAAGGGAAAGAAGTGGAATGTTATGCAATGGCCAAGTCAATCACCTGACCTGAATCCGACTGAGCATGCATTTCACTTGCTGAAGACAAAACTGAAGGGAAAATGCCCCAAGAACAATCAGGAACTGAAGACAGTTGCAGTAGAGGCCTGGCAGAGCATCACCAGGGATGAAACCCAGCGTCTGGTGATGTCTATGCGTTCCAGACTTCAGGCTGTAATTGACTGCAAAGGATTTGCAACCAAGTATTAAAAAGTGAAAGTTTGATTTATGATTATTATTCTGTCCAATTACTTTTGGTCCCTTAACAAGTGGGAGGCACATATGCAAACTGTTGTAATTCCTACACCGTTCACCTGATTTGGATGTAAATACCCTCAAATTAAAGCTGACAGATGGGAGTTAAAGCACATCTTGCTCGTTTCATTTCAAATCCATTGTGGGGGGTGTATAGAGCCAAAAATTGTTAGAATTGTGTCGATTAGTTATTTTTAAAAAGTACAGGCCTGGCATTCTAATTCTTGCTTTACTACCTAGTAAATCACTGAATTGAAATAAGCAAGCAGGGTGAGAGTTCAGACTTTATAGGCTACATTCTTTTTTTTTTTTTTTATAATATCTTTTAATTCTGCAACTCAGGAAAAGACATAATGTGTTCAAACATAACATGAACAATGTGACAGACATATGGCAGAACATTCTGCTAAAGAGATCAAAGTATACATGAGTTACAGCCTAGACCGTGATAAAAAATTCTTATGAGAAATGGTAATCAAAAGCCAAGTAGGGGTCAAAGGGTGCCATGAGCTGCCTATGTGTAATTTAAAACAAAACGCATAATAAGCTTGAGTATAACAAGAGTGTGGGCCAAATAGCCTTCCACCTCCCAATAGCATATCTAAAGCAGGAAAAATGGTTTATTCATTGAACTGGGATTTTTAGGGTGCTAGTCATACACAACAATATATAAATTTACAAAACTTTTGAGACCTCATTCTGAAAATCACACATGTTCAACATTACAACCAATAAATATTGTTTGCATCAATATTTGTTGGTTACAGTCTCCAAAATCCAGTTTACTAAAAATTTCTGTGGTGTAATAATTCTCGCCATGTTTCGCCTATAAAGGCTTCCTCAGGAGATATCGGGTACCACACCTCAAGGACTGCATGAAGTAAACAATGTATCAATGTAAATATTTTCCACATATAGATAGCCATAACATTATGCACCATTATGCTATAGAAAGATGGGACATCGCCAAGAAAAAAACAAAAAAAAAAAATACAAAACTGTATAGCATTAGAAGTTTGATGTATAGCATCTCACCAATGATAATCGGTTGTTTGAAAATCAAATCAAGAATTGACGAGTAATATAGGCTGAAACACAACAGTTGGGAAAACACCAGTAGGGTGGTGTTTAGTAAGCCACAGGAGGAATACCAAGGAGTTGAGTGCTGGAGATGTGAAAGTTTTCTTTCAGTTTAAAAGTCAGTGCGAAACGGGTGAACAGCAGGATGTGGGGGATGAGGGATCCCAGCAAGAGACTTGCTGTTAATCAATACAGCAGGGGTTGGATGGTGTGTGTTGGAGGAGAGGGATGGTGGTGAGCTGCATTTCCAATAGTCAGTATAGCTGGCCACACCCCTTTCCAAGTTCTGGTATGGTGATTTGCAGTAGCTCCCAGCAGGAGCTTTGCTGACAATTAACATAGCAGCGACTGGGCGAAGGGCGTTGTCGGCTGCAGCTGCTAGGTATTGTAATTTAATACTCACCCTTTCACTGTAGAGCGACACCCCCTGTAAAGTAGAAGAACCAGAAAGGATACAAAAAGTCTGAAAAAATGTACATAATTTTTATTTGAAAAAACATTTGAATATAGTTCCTAAATACTATGGTTTTGTTTTCCAATAAATCCTGTGTTCACAATACTTTGATAATGGATTTTCTAGAGCTTTTAGGTCCAGTGGCAGTGCAAGGCTCTACCACTGTAGAAATAGTTGTAAAATGGACACCAAGTTTGCATGTATGCAGGGTGCAAGACTCATTTGATTATAAGCAGAAAACTTTCTTACAGCTTTCCCCGGATTTTGGTATTCTTGGATTGGGCTCCTTTGAGAGGAGGGAGTAAATCTCCAACCCAGTGTCCAGGTCTTGCAGAAGACCAGCAGGCTGAGTGTGCAGGTGTGCACAGCCATTATAACAATAGGCTTTCACATGGCTCAGGGCTCCCATTTGGAGACAGTTTGTGTGTTCCTGTTAGGAGGCAGAGGTACTATACTCAAAAGACAGCATTCTATGTTGAAGAAAAGATTCCATGTCAATAGAGCTGAGATAGTTGGGACTGCTAAGCCAGTCTACAGGACTGGGAGAGCTAAGGCAACTAGGCAAGTCCAGGGGAATGAAGGACTCTAAGCTTCAGAGGAGTGAGCGTGCCCTGGTTCTTAGGAGATCCCCTATTGAGAGACCAGGAGTGGGCCCATACAGCTGGAGCTGTAACTACAGGCTGACTGAGCCAGTAAAACCCACAGAGCCTTTGGAGCTGGCTGCGATGGTCTGAGGGGCCAATCAAAAGCAAAAAGCCATGGTTTGGGGCATAAGCAGCGGAATATCCTACTTTGCAATTCCAGACTGTGACTGGAAAAATATATGCATTGTCATATGTTGTACCCCTTTAATCAGCATGTCGACAAGAATGGAAAATGAAGTCTTATCCTGAAGATCAAAATGATTATTGCTAAAAATTTAGCCAAGTGTTTTACTCGCTTATTTTGCAAATTCTTTTTCTCTCGTTATTCAGGACAACACGGCAAGCTCTGTTCCTGTTATTTTATCTGTAGTTGTGGTTCTGTTAGTTGCTGTTGCTGCAGCCATCTTGATAATCAAGAAATATGTTTGTGGTGGTAGGTAAGTAGATAAAAGCATGAACAATCATGGTATTGAGTTTTTTTTTTTTCCTGCATGAAAAGTTTGTTAGACATTTTTATTGCTAAATTTAATTAGTGAGCAGCAACCATGGTGTTGGTACTTCTCTGCTCTATAGCATTTGGTGGCCCTACTGCATTCTTGACAGCTAGGAACCTACCAGTCTGACTGTATGTATAATAAAAATGAAATTATAGCATGGAAGCCTAGTAAAATGTGAATGTAACTTCAAAAATTACAATTGTAACTCGTAACTCAAAACATGTAAGTACAACAATGAAAGCACAGTATAGTTGGGTACTGGAATAGCTACAGTCACTATATACAAATTAAAGTAGAAGACAAGCTGACCTTTTAAATACCCCTTTTTAATGTTTTTGCATATGATCACATGACCACAGAATCTCCTCTCCTTCTGACGTGGTTGGTGGGAGGAGACATCGCTACTTCTCGACAACAGACAGAGCAGTGAAAGCTAGTGAGTGAAGACATTGCACAATACATAGTTACATAGTTAATCTGGTTGAAAAAAAGACACAAGTTCATCTAGTTCAACCAATAAAAGGATAAAAAAATGTAAGCAATCCTATATACACAATTCTATACCTACAGTTAGTCCAGAGGAAGGCAAAAAAAACCCAGCAAAGCATGATACAGTTTGCTCCAGCAGGGGAGAAAAATCCTTCCTGATCCCACGAGAGGCAATCGGATATTCCCTAGATCAACTCCTACCTATAAATGTTTGTATCCAGTTATATTATCTGCTTTAAAAAGGCCTGGGTTCTTTCCTAAATGCAATTTACTGACCTGGCCAGAACCAACTCTTGAGTCTATTCCACATTTTCACAGCTCTTACTGAGAAAAAACCTATCCATGTTTTGATGAAATCTTTTCCTCCAGATGTAAAGAGTGCCCCTTGTCTTCTGTGATTACCTTAAAGTGAATAACTCTATACTGCGTTCACTATATAGACCACCTATGTATTTATGCATATTGATCATGCCCTCCCCCTTCTGCTCCAGAGAATAAATCAAATTCCTTTAATATTTCCTCATAGCTGAACTCCTCCATGATTCTTATCAGTTTGGTTGTTCTCTGCACGGCCTCCAGTTCCTTGATATACGTTTTTTGTGAATTGGTGCCCAAAACTGAACTTGCATATTCCAGATGATTTGTACAAGGGCAAAATGATCTCACTCTCTCCTATATCTCTTAATATAATATAGGATTTTGTTTGCTTTGGAAACCACAGCTTGGCTTTGCATACCATTATTAAGCTAATTATTTACCAGAACACCTAGATCCTTCTCCACCATTGATTTCCCCAGTTGTGCTCCCCCTAGTATGCATGATGCATGCATACTCTTATCCCCCAAGTACATAACATTACATTTATCAACATTAAAACTCATTTGCCAAATAGTGGGCCAATTAAACAGTGCATTGAGGTCAGCTTGTAAGTTGGAGACATCCTGTAAGGACATTATTCCACTGCATAGCTTGGTGTTCTCGGCAAAGACTGAAATGGTACTTTTTAATCTCAGACCTTGTATCATTTGTAAATATATTGAAAAGTTGGGGTCCAAACACTGAATGGTCTAGGGTTGTTAATGGTGTGCCCCAAGGTATGAATCATTAACCACTACTCTCTGAATACAATCTTTTAACGTTTTCTAGCCATTTATATACTGATTTTTCCAAGCCTGTAGACTTTATCTTACACATAAAAAGAAATCATTCTTGTGAGCCCTTCAAATTAGAGGAACCAGAGCTTTGCAGTTATTTGATTGCATGTACAAACACTTGAAAGAAAAAAAACAAAACCTTATTTACACAGCAAATTTTAAAAAAATATTTTAATGCCAGTTTATAGTTGGCCTTTTCTGCTACTTTAGGTTGGGTTACTAATTAGAAGCCTAGAAGCCATACCTGCTAAGTAAAATAAAAAATAAAAATCACACCTTTTGACTTAAATACCATAATAATGTTCAGATTCGAATTATTACATAGTGGTTCTTTAAGGTACTCCTAGAAAATATGGATATGCACATATACTCTTTGTTGCTTTCATACTCAAACCTTTTTTTCCCATGTGGATAGATTCCAGTTATTTTTTTTATATACATATATAACCCCAATTCAAAAATGTTGGGACGCTGTGTAAAATCTATATAAAAACAGAATGCAATGATTTTTCAAATTTCATAAACCCATATTTTACAGAAAAAATAGAAAACCTATCAAATGTTTAAAATAAGAACATGTACCATTTTAAGAAAAAAATAGGTAGTTTTGAAAGTGGTATCAACATGTCTCAAATAAGTTGGGGCAAGGCAACAGAAAGCTGTCAAAGTAAGTAGTACGAACAAGGAAGAACTTGAAAAACATTTTGCAACTAATTAGGTTAATTGGCAACAGGTCAGTAACATGACTGGGGGGGAGGGGCGTGAGCATGGCACTCTGCAGCTGCATGAGCTCGGAGCTCCCACGTCCGCCGAGCAATTGTATTCACTTGACCTATTCATCTGCCTCGGAGAGTGCCCGGTCCAGTGTGGCTGGTGGGTCCGGTGAAGCCTGGATTCTTGTCGCAGTGGGAGGCTGGTGGGCTGCTATCTGACGAGAGGTGAAGGACCCGGTGGAGAACACCGGGTAGACCCATATGACCGATCAGGTGACCGGGGCAAGGAAACCTGGGAGGCTAGTGCCAGAGACAGGAGGACGAAGGTGCACTAAGCAAGTCACGGAGAGGAGACCCGAGGTAGAGGCCACCAAGCCTGTGTGCCCCAGACCACCAAAGGATATTTTGTGAAACCCCTGAAGATAACGAACAGCTGACAACCAGCCAGTGGTTGCAGTACATAGGAGCAGATGAGTTGCCGCGATGGCGGTAAATCCCTACAGTTGAGGTACTGTATACTATTGTCGAAGCATGGATACAACATTAGTTTCCCTAGGGGTCTCAGAGGTTGATGGGACAGTGTAAATAGAACATCATTTATGTGAACTGATAGGAAGAAAGGAGGGGGCATCCAGGAAGGGTACGATGAAGAAGGAAAAGAAAAGGACATCAGAGAACTGTAACCCTCATAAAGACCAAGAGGGGAAAGATTTTAAGCGAGACCAGTATTGCGGGTAAGGACCCGAGGATACTGGAAGTAAATCTCTACCTAATGCTATAATTAACTGTACATCTTGAAGAATATGAAGTAGTACTCCTCAACCAAATTCAAGCACAAGTACAATAAAGTACATGCCTTTTGCATGAGAAAAGCCCAGAGGAACAAACCCCAGAAAGTCACCGAGAATCAAATTGTACCGGAGGGCAAATGAGACTGTCTTTTGAGATATCGGATAGGAATCCGTTGAAAGAAATCTCAAAGTTGGAGTGTGAAAGGAGGAAAAGAAATATGGAGTAGCAAGAAGCAAGGCTACAAATGCTCACAAAATCAGAAATTGCAGAAATGTTTGCAAAACTAGAAAACTCCATAAAAAGTGAAATGGAGGTTTTACACCAGGAAATGGGAGAAGTCTTGTCACGAGTAGAGGAAATGGAAGGGAAAGGTTTCATTGTTATGAAGATAAAGAAATTATATGGAAGAGGCTACATGGGATACCAGATATAAAATATGGAGAAACGAAGTTGCAAATTTTCACAGATATAGCACAGGAGACACTTGATAGAAGATCTTTGAAAGCGTTGTTGGATCAGATGAGGGACAAAAATGTCCACTATAATTGGGGATTACCTGCATGCTTGATCGGGTGGAAGGATGGGAAATCTGCAAACTGAGATTCCTGAAAGATTTAAGTGACTTGTGAAAAATTTTAATTACAGACTGTAGATATTGGTGGTTGATCTGCATGGGGGAAAGAGAATAAAAGGTTCGAAGAGGAGAAATGGCAACCAGTTTCTAAAAAGAGAGAGACTGATGAGGGGGAGATGGCTTTGGAGGGGAGGTGAGCGGGGACAGGAGGTGACGGACCCAAGTTTTGCGTTCCCCACCCCTCTACCTTTTTTTTTTTTTTTTTTTTTCTCCTTTGCCCTACCCCCTCCACCTGCCCTGTAATACTCTTGGGATAAAGGTCTCCTCCTCTGAGGACAGGTTAAACGGGGGCCCTTAGGTATAGGGAAAAATGTTTACTAGACAGGTTAGAGAGTTGAGATAAGAGGATTAGGTAGGTTAGTGAGGAAGATTGGGTACCATGGCGGGTAGTAGGGAGGCCAAACCTGCCACTGCATTTCAGACCCAAACATGAGAGATTGGAGCCTGCATGTTCAGAGCCTTACCCAGACAGTAGGCCACAACTGATTCAAGGGCCAAAAATAGGCCATAGGGAATTTCAAGAAGGGGGGTTGGGGGGAGAAGAGTAAACGGGGAAGGTCTTCTTGTTCCAAATTCTGCTTAAAAATCAGACGGTATATTTGGAAGGAATATTGGGAAAACTTAGACTTTAAAAGGGGTAGCCTGATTGTGGCAGGCAATTTAAATAGGAGTCTAAAGAATGTTAAAGGGTTGGAGGGTTAAGAATCCAAGGGAAAGAGACTATACCTTCTCTGCGGCGCATAGGATGTATTCAAGATTGGATGTTGATTGCACATGGACTCTTGGAGTCTTTGGTGAAAACTAACATAGAAGTAATATCTATATCTGATCATACTCCTGTCACGATGAGACTACGGTTTGGAAGGAACAGAACAAAATAAACACGTGGCGATTAAATGAGACCATTTTTACAGGACCCGGAAATGGAAATAAGAGTAAAGCAGGAAATTTAACAATATTTTAAGTTAAACGAGCCTGGGGTTGATTCAGTTGCCACTGTATGGGAAGCACATAAGGCCTATATTTGGGATATACTGATTGCGATAGGGGCGGGGGAAAAAATTAGGGTATTAACGGAAGAACTCTATCAGTTGGAACAATTGCATAAAAAAAATAAATATAATTTACAACAGGAGATAATAAAAAGAGAAGCGTTAA